TCTGTCTGTGCTCTCACTGTGCTGGTGTTTGTGTTGTCTGTCTGTGCCCGCAGTCGATGCTCCGGGGCCGAGGGGGCTGCTACAAACACACCTTCTATGGGATCGAGAGCCACCGCTGCATGGAGGCCACCCCCAGCCTGGCCTGTGCCAACAAGTGTGTCTTCTGCTGGAGGTAAAGCCCTGGGGGGGTTCACCTTGGGGTTGGGGTCTGCTGGACAGAGACAGTGCTGTCCCTGAGCCAGCAGGGAGCCCTGGGGGCTGAGGAGGCCAGTGGGATCCTGGGGAGCATCAGGAAGAGCATTCCCAGCAGGGCAGGGGGGGATCCTGCCCCTCTGCCCAGCCCTGGGCAGGCACATCTGCAGGGCTGGGCCCAGCTCGGGCTCCTCAGCACAGCAGGGCCAGGGAGCTCCTGCAGCGGGGCCAGCGCAGGCTGGGAGGATGAGGAGGGCACTGGAGCATCTCCCTGAGCAGCAAAGGCTGAGGGAGCTGGGGCTGTTCAGCCTCCAGAGCAGACACTGAGAGGGGACCTCCCACCGTGTGTCAGGGGCTGCAGGGAGGGGGCAGAGGATGGCCCAGGCTCTGCTCGGGGGGCCCAGCAATGGCACAGCAGGAACGGGCAGGAACTGATGCCCAGGAAGCTCCAGCTGGACAGGAGGAAGAACTTCTTCCCTGGGCAGTGCCCCAGCTCTGAACAGGCTGCCCAGGGAGGGGCTGGAGTCTCCTCCCTGGGGATATTCCAGAGCCCTCTGGACACAATCCTGTGCCCTGTGCTCTGGGCTGGCCCTGCCTGAGCAGGGAGGTGGCACCAGTGACCCACTGGGGTCCCTTCCAGCCTGACCCACCCTGGGATTCTGTCCCTGTCCTGTTCTCAAAGCACCCCCGGCAGGGTGGGACTGGGGAGAGGCTGAGGCTCAGCAGGAACACTCAGCAGTGGTGTGAGTGCTCTGAGTGGGAGGACAGGGAGGGTTTTTTTGAGCTCTTTTGTCTTCTGCCTTGCTTGTTAATTCATCCCATTAGAGCTGTGTTTCCTTTGGGATTTATGCCTTACCCCAGGTTGCCAACAACACCCATTCCATCCCTCAGCCTGAGTGTCCAACATCCCAGTAAATAATCCTGAATGACCTGGGCTAGTGGAAGGTGTCCCTGCCCATGGCAGGGGTTTGGAACAAGATGAGCTTTAAGGTCCCTTCCAACCCAAACTGTTCTAGGATTCTGTGATAATATTTCCATGCAAAACGAGCCAAACTCCTCTGAGTGCCCCTTTCTGTCTCTCATAGCCTTCAAGTTTTAATAATGCAAATATTTCATGAGAACATTTAAAGCACTGCTCTAACTCTGAAGGCACTTTGAAGCTGTTTCCAGCGTTGGTGTTAAGTTTAAGCACTAGACGCTGGTCATCCTGTTAAGTTTGCATTTGGGAGTCTATTCCAAAATGTTAATTGGTGCTCTTGATGGGCTTTCCTCATATCCTGGCTGGAAAGGACTCAGCAAATGGAATGTTTAATGAGAAAGTTCTGCTGCTTTTCTTCAGAGCACTGTAATGGTTGGGAAGAAGATGTGCCACTCGTGTCTCTTTTTTTCCCACGTCTCAGCTCCCGGTGCTGCACTGAATTCTGCAGGGTACCTGGGAATGCTGGGCATGGGATTGTCCCTCTGGCCCCACACAGAAGGTACATCCCAAACAGCAAAGAGGAGGAGGTGGTTTGTTCCCAGTATTACTCCACAGGGGATTTAACACAGTTTCTCTTCAAATCGAGCTAATTCAGTATTTCTTAGCAGCAGCCTGTGTGGGGAGCATGGACTGAGTCAGGGAAGTCCAGCAAGTGTAAATTGGAGAGTGCAGTAATTGGGATAAATTGGTTCATCCCATGTGCCTCTAACTCATCATCCTGTAACTGTCACTCTGCACTTCAGAGGGATCCTGGAAGCAGCAGCCCTAGGATGCTGATTTTCCTGATGGTTACAACCTGAATGCAAGGAAACAGCTTTCCAGGGGGCTGTGCTGACAGGTTTTATGTATTTATTCATATATTTACCTCCTGTGGGTGAAATGGGGGGGCAGGAGATTAACTCTCCCACGGGGAATGCAGCTGGTTGTCTTATACTTCCATGGGAAGCTGGAAATTTTAAGTTGGAAGATGTAAGGCTCAGGTTGAGGCTCATCCCAGGGCTTGCTTTATGTACTTAAGCTTGACATAAACCAGACCTGCTGCTGAAAGAAGTTTTCTTCTTTTTGGTTACTTTTGCAGATCCTGTGCTTGGGCTGCTGCAGCCTTTGTGTGGCTGTGATTTGGTGTGTTCCATAAATAATGAGAAGGATTCTTATATATTATATTCCACACATAATAAGAAGGATTTCCATCCTTTCTTCCTACACCAAATCCCTGCTGATCCTGTGCCAGCCCAGCTCACAAACTCTGCAGTCAGGCCTATCTCTGCACTTTATTTTAAACCCACCACACCTTGCAGAGTCTTAACCATGTGAGACTGAACATGGGATTGCAGGTGCAGGATAAACACATCCCCTCCTTAGCAGCACTTGCCATCTGTGCTGTTGGAGACACACAAAGCAATAGTTTTGATCTGCTGTTGGCAGAATGTTTTTAACACCAGTTTTACGCCTTGCTGCTCTCCCTGGGCAGCTCTGCCTTGCAGATAAGGCCTCTGTGATTTTTTTTTTTCCCTGATCTCTTCTTTCAGGGTTTTGACATTTGTAGAGCCTGCCAATGTTTCCAACTGCACAACAACTGCAGCTCTCCCAGGATGGCTGAGGAAAAGGCCAAGGAGCCTGTTTGTTTTCTCTTCCTCACTTTGGCAAGAAATGCTGCAGTTGAGCTGCTTTCCCTGGGAATTGGATGTCAGGGGAGTTGGCTGCTTGGCACTGACACCTTTTGGCCCCAAACCAGTCATAGAATCATGGAAGGGTTTGAGTTGGAAGGGACCTCAAAGCTCATCTCATTCCAACCCCCTGCTGTGGGCAGGGACACCTTCCACTGGACCTCATGGGTGGAGCCAGTGTCCAAACACCTGCAGAAAATTAGGGTGTAATTAAAATAAATAAAATTGATTTACAAATAAAATTTGTAAAAGAGGTAGCTTGGCTCTACACTAGAGCCCTTCCCTTTCCTTGTCCCTGGGAGCAGCAGATCCCTGGGAGCTGCCACTCCTGCCAGTGCTCCCTCACTGGCTCGTGCTGCCCAGTGTGTCCCCTCAGAGGTGGCCCAGAGGTTGGGGCTGAAGGATTATGTGGCAGCTCTTTTGGAGGACAGGAAAAACAGACTGGGAGATGGGAATGACCTGGAGCTGTGCCAGGGCAGGGTCAGGTTGGATCTCAGCCAAAGGTTCTTCCCCCAGAGGCTGGTTGGGCACTGCCCAGGCTCCCCAGGGCAGTGGGCACAGCCCCAAGGCTGCCAGAGCTCAGGGAGGGTTTGGACAACGCTCTCTGGGATTGTTGGGGTGTCCTGGATGGTGTCTGTGGGTCCCTTCCAGCTCAGGATATTTCATGATTCTCTGAGCTGGATTGTTTGGTGTTCCCCAGGGCAGTGTGGAGCTGTGCTGAACTCCTGGGCTGGAGGGGGGAACCCACAGCTTAATTACTGCAACATAATTGTGCTCACAGAGGGAGTCTGTCCCTCCCCATCCCTGCTCTGTAGTGTCTCTGTAACCTGATTGCCTAAATGGAGCTGTGCAAGTGGCCAAATCTTTTAATCAATTAGAGCAAGAAAGGATTCTGAGGCTTCCTGACACCGAACTGCAACACAGTCACCAGGCAGAGCTCCTGGGATGAGCTGCTCTGACTGTCTGAAACCCAGTCAATTATTGTGGAGATGTTGAACAGCAAAATCAGGTTGAAATTAATAGGGTTTATTACTTTTGCATCTGAGGAGGGGGCAAAGCAGACAGAGTGAAATATCCTGTGGAGGAATTGGCTCATATTTCTTGTTCTGTAACTTTGTTTATACCTGTACCTGAAGGTTTCAGGTTTACAGTAGAAAACAGCTGAAGTTCTTCTGTACACACACTAAATAAGTGTGTGGCCAAAAGCCAGTGATCACTGGAAACCCTGCAAAATAAAGAGAGATTCAAAATGAATAATCTCTCCTAGGAGAACTACTTCAGGTCATTAAAAAATGAAGAAGAAACTGAAAACAGATTAAAACAAAAGCTTCTCCTCAATAAGTAACTTGACTCCAGAGGCTCAATCCTTCAGGGAAATGGGAAGTATTGTGATATCAAAGGAGTTGTCACTGCAGGTTTGGAAAACTTGGAACCTCAGAGAGTCTCTGCATCTCCAGCCACCAGTCCTTGCTCTGCTGAGTTGTTGCTCTTTTCTCCCTGGTTATTGTTTTATTTACAGGAGTGAGGTATTGTGATATATCCTTTCCTTCACATTTGGTTCTTCACTGGTTTGTTGATTTTTGGGCCTTCCAGGAGCTCTTGAAATAAGCATATAAATGGGACAGAAATCATGGAATGTACCCAGTTCATGCCCCTGTCAGTGGTAAAGAGGTGCTCTGCCAGCTCAGTAATCAGAGGCATTTCTGGGAGAAAATGTTCCTCAGGTGAAATGGGATTGGAATCTCTGATTTTCATCTCGTAGCACTGTGCATTTTTCTGGACCTGGGCTTGTTGAAGGCTTCTGTAGCTGTCACTGTCAGCTCCCAAATTTCTGGCATTGGTGGGGAATATATTCAGATTATTGGCTGTGAGATGCTCATGTGGGTTGGGTAATTCCTGCAGGGGGTTGGTGCCCAGGCACCAACTTTTTGGTGTGTTTTGACACTCAGATTAGTTGTAAAATGGTCTTGGAGGCTGTGCCAAGCAGGATTGTACTGGGAGGGGATGGGATGGGGGGACACAAACACAGGGCAGACACCTGGGAGGTGCTGGGCACCATCTTTGGGGAACTGCTCTGCAAAAACTGAGCATTTCCTGGAGCTGGGATGTATTTTGTTCATCAGGGAGCAGCTTCTGTCCTTAAGATTTCCAAAGAGTGAGTTGGAAGAGGATCACAGAATCCTTTTGGTTGGGAAAACCCTTGGAAATCCTTGAGTCCAGCCATTCCCTCAGCACTGCCAAGGTCACCACTGACCCATGTCCCCAAGTGCCACATCCACTGTGTTAAACCCCTCCAGGGATGAGACTTCACCACTGCCCTGCCACATGAAGATTTCCATGAAGAAATCTTCCCTACTATCCAATCTGAACCACCCCTGGCACCCTCTGATACTTTGAGCCAACTTATCCACCATGCTCTGGGGTGACTGAACCATCCCAGAGAGTTTAAATATCTCTGACCTGTTCTCTTCCCAGCCCAGTCTGGGCTCTTCCTCTTGCTCTTAGGAAAAAGCAGAAGAAAAGCTGCAAAGAGGTTTCTTGTCATCCCAGAGGAACATTAAACATGGGTTGCTTGTGCACTGGTCAAGCTTTTTCCTTGTTCCTCGTTTTCCTCCTCCCATCATTACAGGGAGAGTCATCCTTGGGAGCCCTTTTGTGTGTCCTTTCCTAGTTGAGTCTGATTTTTGCCCTTCCCCTCTCTGAGGTTGCCCCTGTGTTCCTGTGCTGGTTTTGTTTGCAGCTGAGGGATCACAAGGTTGCAGAAGAGCAGGTTGGGTTTTGTTATCCTTTGTTTCTTCGCTTTTTATTGCTGCAGGTTGTGCTTCTGCCTTAATGGGGTTTAAAAAACTGCCAGTTCTCCTCAACTCCTTTGCCCTTAAGCTCTTCTCCTCTGGGATCTCCCCTGATGGTTCTCAGGGTTCACTGAAGATGCTTCCCCTGGACTCTCTTTAATTTTATTCTGCTCTTCCCCTCCCTGAGAAGGACGTGCTCTGTCCTTTCCTGGGCACTGCCACCAGCACTTCCTTCATGTTCCCCCCCAGGGATCACCAGCTCTGGAGCAAATGATACTTTATCCCCAAGTTTCACTTGCCCTCAAAGATTCTTGGAAGCTTTAATAATCCTTTGAAGAAGGCACAAAGCAAAAGCAGATTTATTAAACCAATCTCCAAGTGACTGGGATGGGGATGCACATCCACCTTCACGGAGGTCTCAGGGACTGCCAGGGACACTCTGGGAATGCTGTCACCTAATCCTGGTGGATCAAAGGTCTGATAACACTGCTGGATGGTCAGCCAGGGAAAACTGGGAGCCAGCTGGGAGATTCCCACCATGTTTACTGCAGTCCTGCCTCACTCCGTGGTGGTGGGATGCTGCAGCAGTGAAATGTCTCTGAAGGATCAAAGCAAACCTGTTTCACACTTGGAATCTCTGCTAAAATTGAGGGTTTCTGGTGTGTGTGGCTTTGGGTGGGATTTCTTTTTTCCTTGTGTTATTTTGGGAGGGAAGGAAGGAAGGAATCCCATGCACAGGTACCAGCTCTAGACTTGAGTCACCCGTGAGGCAGATGATGAGGAGGGTCACGGAGCCTGGGGGGGAATGGGAAGGTGACAGTGGAATCCTGTGTGTTCTGGGGACCATAAAACAGTCTCAGCCACAAGGCATTGCTTTTTTGTGCTCCTATTAGCAGAGAAACTCCTTTTTTGCCAAATAAGCTGCTTTGTAGACATGACCTGCTATGTTTATTAAACAGTTAGGACGTGTTCAAAATTCAGGGCCTGTTGGACACCAACAGCTGTCCAGGGTGTATCCAGAGCTTATTGATTTTCTGCCAACTTGCCCTATAAAATATACAAGGTACAAGTTATGTAGTTAAACATGTAAGAGTTTTATAAATGCATTTTATAGTTGACATTCAGAAAACTTGCCGTGTTGGCAGATGAGGGAGAAAAAGGGGAAATACAGAAAGCAAAGCTGTTTTGGCTTAAAGGATCCTTGAGGTGGTAAAGTTTGGGAGCAGTGCTTGAATCTTTGCTCTTGAAGTGGATGAAGAAATGTTTGAGCTAAAAGGCTGGGTTTAGTGAGGCTGGGTCTGGAATTTGGGCTTTAGCACTGGCAGAGTGTGCAACTGCAGGTTTTCACTTGGAGAATCCCAAAATGGTTTGGGTTGGAGGGACTTTGAAGCTCATCCCATTCCACCCCCTGCCATGGGCAGGGACACCTTCCACTAGCCCAGGTTGCTCCAAGCCTTGTCCAACCTGGCCTTGGACACTTCCAGGGATGGGGCAGCCACAGCTTCTCTGGGCAACCTGTGCCAGGACCTCCCCACCCTCACAGGGAACAAATTCTCCCAAATATTTCATCTACTCTTAGTTTGAATCCATTCCCCCTTGTCCAAAGTCAGTGGGAGTCTTTTACTTGTCTCCAGCAAGTGTTGGATCAGCCACTTCATCCTGAGAAAGTGCTTCCCTGTCTTTCCTCCCTTAGTTAACTGCTGGGATCATGTCCTGATGTCCCTGGAGCTGGCAGGCTGAATGCAGCAGGGCACCTCCCAGCCCTCTCCTTGGCTGCCTTCCAGGGCTGCTGGAGAGTGGGGCTGGAAACAGGGGTCACCCGGGCAGAAATCTCAGTGTCAGGGGGATATTTTGCTTGGTCTTGTTTCCCTGTCCAGAGCTGTGTTAATCCAACAGCTTCTGTGACAGACACTGCCAAATGTGCTGCTCTTTTCTCAGTGGGTTATTCTGAGTGCAGTGGGGCTGGGAGGGAAAAGGGAAGGAGCTGTTGCAGCATGCTTTGAAAAGAAACAGTAAAGATGGAGAGAGAACAAGGAGGTGAAAACACTGAAATTCATTGACTTAAGATGATCCTTAAAGGCTGATGATCCCTGTTAGATGCTGATCCAAGTGCAGCAGGGGTGGGGGATTGCTCAGAGCAGGGGACAGGCTCTCTCTGGGCTGTGTTTGTCAGGTGGGACCATGATGGGGACCAACCAGTTGCTTGTGATGTCTCATTTGCTGGTGAGGATGCAGGTTGTTTTCCCAGCTGACTTACAATGGGTTTGTGACATCTTCTCATCATAATAAATAAGAAATGGAGAGAAACTCTGCAGATCTTCCAGGTGCTTGTGTGGATTTCCCTGGGTGGGCTTTTGCTGGTTTTGGGTGCAATGATCCTTTCCAGGCAAGGTTGGCTTCCTAACCCAATGTGCTGTTCCTCAGAGGGAAGATCTGTGGGGTTTCTCCTTCAGTCTGGGACATGAACCACATCCAGCACTGTGGTACAGTGCAGACTTCCTGCTCTCAGAGTTTGAAGCATCCTACCCTAATCTACCTTGTTGCCACAGCACAAAACAAAGACTGGATCAGAAACAAATCCTGTCCTTCTCAGGGTGGTGGTTGGTACCTTTAAAATGGAATTAAAGGTGTCCTGGGACCTTCCTTCTCCAGAGCTTCCTGCAGCTGTGGTCAGAAGAGGAGGTAGAACCAGTTTTCCTTTCTTTACAGAGGTTTTTGTGGCTGCAGAGCATCATTTTAGCTTAGAAACCTTTCACCTGGGGTTCAGAATAGGTATGTTAAGTTTAATAGGAACTGCAAGGTCCATTTTTCCTCTCTGGGGAGAGCAGAGCCTGGAAGGAGAGAGGTATGAGAGTGGTGGTCAAGGATGACACCCGAAAGTTGGGTCAGCAGCAGGATGTTGCTGGGGATTTCTCGTGGCTTTTAATGTTGTTAAACACTGCCAAAGGTGGCAGGTGGGTCCTCCCATGTGTGTTCAAATGCCAGTGAGTGCCTTGTCTCCTCTCCCTTCAGACACCACACCAACCCCGTGGGCACAGAGTGGCGCTGGAAGATGGACCAGCCAGAGCTGATCCTGCAGGAGGCCATTGAGATCCATCAGAACATGATCAAGCAGTTCAGAGGTAACTTCTCCTCCCACCCCATCAGTGGAGCTTTGAGAAGACAACAGCAGTGGCACCTTCAGAGCCTGGGGGAGAACATTCTGGTCATCTGAGAGGGAGAGGTGTGAGATGTGGGACATCACAGAGATGGGGGAGAAGAAACTCCCGTGGCACATTTATTGTTTCCTGAGCTGTTTGACCTTTCCCTCGGCCACTGGGTGTCTGGTGCTGCCTGCAGGGGAGGAGGGGAGTTGCACCTTGGTGGTTGTTACATCTTTTCCCTTGGTGAGCACAGAGATTTCCACAGTGGTTAAACGGGTTTGGATGATGGGAAATCTTGGCTCTTCTGTACAAGTGAGGTTAAAAGTGATCAGGAAATACCCAGCCTTAATCCCCTGCTTTTGTGTTAGTTCTGAAACTTCCAGGTTGTGTTTTTCCCATTAATAATTAAGCAGCAGCATTCAGGGTATTCCTGTTTTCAGGAATTATTCAGACACCTCTTTCTGACTGAAGCTGCAGTTATCCCCTCTCAGTAGCACTGCTTTTCCTTCAAACAGGAACCTGTTGTGAGTTGGATGTTTATTCATTCTGTCTCTGTGTAGACATGGCTGTTTTTTGGGAGGTTTTATTTGATTTCCCAAATGTGATAAACTTGATTGGGTTTGATATCTTAGAGGCCTTTTCCATGATTCCCAGTAAGCAGTGGAAGGTTCTGGAGGAGTCTGTAACCCCCTGTCAGCCCACGCTGAACCCACAGACCCACCTGCTGTGGTAGAACAAGGGACCACAGGCTTGGGGTTCTGTTTGGGAGGATCAGCTCAGACATCAAAATCAGCTTGTTCAGCCAAGGTGGTGCCCAGAGAGGTGGGGGACTCTCCAACCCTGGAGTCTTTCAAGTCCTTTAAGTAAAGCCATTATCACCCTGGACTAAGGAATAACCTTTTCTTTCCTTTACTACTCCCTGCTCTCTTCCCAAAAAGGGCTGGGAACAGGGAATTGTTATGGACAGACTTGTAAGAATCTGAAAATATTGCTTAAGTGTCAAGAGGCCTGTAAGGACATCCCAGTTCTCTCCTTTGGGAGCTTCTTCTCCATTAAACAAATTCATAAATATTCCCTGAAATGTGCCTGTGCATCCTCAGCACGGTTACCCTTGACCTGGAACTGTGAAAGGAGAAAGAGCAGGAGGGGAAAAAAATGATTCTGGACTAGAAATGAGCTGCAAAGTGGGAAAAGAAAAGCTGTGTTACTTTTTCAGAGTGATAGATGGCAACATGCTTCCTGCCTTGGGAGCCAAAGGTTTATTAAGGAGAAGGAAAATCAGTAGGAAAAGCCCAGGAGCTGCTGTTCCATGTTGGGGATGTTACACTGTCACTTCCCTGGGGTGCCTGTGGAAATATTGGAGCAGAATCAGTGAAAGCAAAATGGAGCTGGAGCAGTGTGGGGGGAGCTGAAGCAGGGACAGGGAAAGGATGCAGGAAGGGATGGAAGTCCCCAGTGGGCTGTGCCAGGCTGGAGCTGCCTCGGGCACAAAACATGGCTGTGTCTTTCCAGCCAACTTAGCAGCTCCACAAACAGCAGGTGGATTTTATTGGGATTGATTTTTGAAACAAACAAAAAAAAACATCAAACCCCCACAAACCACCCCAGGGCTTGAGCAGTGAGGAGCAGGTTGTTGTGGGGCAGGAGGGCAGGTTGGGCTCTGTCCCTCTGTGCTGCCACTGCTGGGGGATCTCGAGGGCTGGGGACAGTTTTGGGCCCCTCATGACAAGAGAGACACTGAGGGGCTGGAACATGTCCAGGGAAGGGGCTGGAGCAGCAGGAGCAGCTGAGGGAGCTGGGGGGGGCTCAGCCTGGAGCAAAGGAGGCTCAGGGGGGACCTTCTGGCTCTGCAACCCCCTGACAGGAGGGGGGAGCTGGGGGGGGTCGGGCTCTGCTCCCAGGGAACAAGGGACAGGAGGAGAGGGAATGGCCTCAAACTGTGCCAGGGGAGGGTCAGGTTGGATACTGGGAAAATTTCTCCATGGAAAGTGTTGTCCTTCCCTGGCCCAGCTCAGGGCAGTGGTGGAGTCCCCATCCCTGGAGGGGTTTAAAAACTGTGTAGATGTGACCCTTGGGGACATGGGTTAGGGGTGGCCTTGGCAGTGCTGGGGGACAGGTTGGACTCAAAATTGGGGGTCTTTTCCAACCTCAGTGATTCCATGATTCTGCAACACTGACTGGGACTCCAGAGGAACTTCCAGCAGGGCTGAGCTGTTTGACCCCCAGAGCAGAACAGACAAATTTGGGCTCCTGGAGAATAAAACCACGGGGAAATGTCTTACCTAGAGATCCCTCAGGGCTTGAGCACCCAGTGATGCTGCTCAGGTGATGCCCAAAGCCATTTGAATAAATTGGTGCTGCCCTTTGTAGTCCCAGTGCCATCTCCACGTGCCAAAGGAACTGCTGAGCTCATCTGAGGAGCACCAGGAGGATCAGAGGGATGGAGCAGCTCTGCTGGGAGGAAAGGCTGAGAGAGCTGGGACTGTTCAGCCTGGAGGAGAGGAGCTTCAGGGAGACCTGACTGTGGTCTTTCAGTGCCTGTAGGAGCCAACAGGAAAGATGGAGAGGGACTGTTTGCAAGGGCCTGGAGTGACAGGACAAGGGAGAATGGCTTCCCACTGCCAGAGGGGAAATTTAGGTTGGATATTGTGAAGGAATTCTTGGCTGTGAGGGTGGTGAGGCCCTGGCACAGGTTGCCCAGAGAAGCTGTGGCTGCCCCTGGATCCCTGGAAATGTCCAAGGCCAGGTTGGACAGGGCTTGGAGCAACCTGGGCTAGTGGAAGGTGTCCCTGCCCATGGCAAGGGTGGAATGAGTGATCTTTAAGGTCCCTTTCCAACCCAAACCATTCTGGAATTCTATGAGTCTTTATTAATTCCATGCATTGAAGTAGAAATGATATTTTCTTTGAAGGAACAGAAGAATTCTTGTGTCTCTTTATCCTTTAGGATATCCTGGAGGAACAGCCCTCAGTACTCTGAGTCCCTCTAATATATCATGTTCTCCTTTATTGTTGCCATAGTTTGTGCTGGTTTTGAAGACCACAGGCATTAAAGTCACATAATTCTCTCTTAGAGTAAGTGATGGAGAGAAATGTTACTGCTATGGAGTGAAGGTGGGAAGCAGTTCAGTTGATGGATACATTTTTCCAGGGAGTGACTGGTAAATCTCTCTGCCCTTGCAAAGGGCACACAGAGAATGGAAACATAATTCAGAAATAGGAGAGTGGGAGTCTCTGATAATACAGCCCAGGGGAAAGGAAAAAAAACCAAACAAAAATGCATGACCTGTGCTGGGAAATCCTGAGAGTCCCTGAGGGTACAACAGCCCCAAGTGCAGGAGACTTCCTGCCCTCCTGGAATAGCACTAATGCTGTGCAGTTTATCCCTGCCTGGCTGGTGATTTGTACAGTCAAATGTTTGCACACAAACCCTCTCCCTCCTCTGGACTGTGTTTGCTGTTCAGCAGATTTGGTGTAAACTATTTTGAGAAAGTTCCACTCCAACTTTAGGTGATGTTGGAATTTTCTTCTCTCTGCTTACGAAGCTACCACGGTAATTATGGGAGTCCAGAGGAGAGATGCTGAGAGAGGGGAATTAATTAATTCCAAAAATGACTTACAGTAGCTTTAGAAATACCAAAGTTAGTCCTTTAATCTCAGTGTGTGGTTCAGATGCTTCTTTCTTTTCAAATAAAGCTCTCATTTAGTACTGTCAAGTTTCTATGGAATAACCATTAGTCCTGTCACTGGCTCAGGACTGAGCCTGGCTGGTTTAAAATTCACTAAGCTCTGCTCTGATTCCAAATCAGCTTTTTTCTACGTGAGGCTGCAGCAATATCCACAAACACCCCTTTTTATCTGGGCTTTGCAGCACAGGGTGGAATTTTCTGTGCTGCAGCGTCAAGGCAACGAGAGGTGAGCTGAGGACCTGGATCCACACTCAGGGCTTTGTTTTTTTATCTTTAAAAGAGACCAGCCCCCAATCTAAACCCTCAGATATTACTGGAGGACATCAAGGCACGTCAAGGAAATGTGAAGTGACATATTTGGAGCAGAGGCTTGTTTGTAGTCGGGTGATTCCACGCGGGGTCCTGAGCGCTCGGGCAGGGCTGGGTGGGCTGGAGGAGGGTTTTCCTCCCCTGGGAATCGTGACCTCAGGTGGGTCAGACCTGCAGGTGGTGTTTTCACATGGATGCTACAGTTGAGCTCCTTGTTTTCCTCTTCCTTCTGAAATTCCTTTGGCTGTTGTGGTGGCCGTGTTGTGGTGGGGTTTTGAACTCTTCCTTGTGTGTTTGCCGGTGTGGATTCAGCCCCAGCTGTTGATGTTCTGCCCAGTGACACGTGCTCAGCTCCCCCAGGAGCTGCTTTTCCTGGGGCTGGGGGGCCAGAGGGACCAACAGCAGACACACACACGCACATAACCTGGGGTTCTTTTTTAAGACACCTGCTTGAAGTTGTCAAACTGCCTCTTGTGTTTCTGTCTCAGTGCTCAGGCAGCACCACCGAGGGCTCAGCAATGGAAAGCTGGGCTCAAATGTTAAAGCTGGGCTCAGATGTTAAAGCTAGGTTCAAATGTTACTCATTGCTACTACCCAAGTTGCTCACAGCAGTGATCAGGGCACACACAGCCCCAGGCCCTGGGTGGACAGTGTCTGTGGGTTCCTGCAGAGCTGTTCCTGGGTGCTGCCTGTGGCCTGGTGTCCCCTCTGGCTCCAGCTGCTTTTCTCAGTCCTCTTTGTGCCAGGGTGTCTTTTGGATACAGATGCAAGGTTTGGGAGGGGGATTTGTTATGGGATCCCAGAATGGAAGGGACCTTAAAAATCATCTCGTTCCAAGCCCTGCCATGGGCAGGGACACCTTCCACTTTACCACGTCACTCAGGGCCCCATCCATTGTTGGTTTAAGGCTGTTTCCCCCTTTTCCAGGTGTGTCAGGGGTGAAGGCAGCTCGCTTTGAGGAGGCCCTGGCAGTGAAACACTGTGCTCTGTCCCTGGTGGGGGAGCCCATCATGTACCCCCAGATCAACCGCTTCGTGAGGCTCCTGCACCAGCACAGCATCTCCAGCTTCCTGGTGACCAATGCACAGTTCCCAGAGGAGATCAGGTAAGAGCTGGATGAAATACCTTCCTACTGAAACATTGGAATGCTGACCTGTGTCTTGATTCCACTTTATCCCCCACTGGAGTGAGCTCTGCATGATGGCAATGCAAAAACCCTCTCAGCATCTCTTTGGTTTGAACCTCAATCTCCCAGTGCTCATTTTCATCTCTTTCTCTCCCCCAGTTTGATTTTCCTTTCTGTACCTCTTAAACAAACTGGGATTGCTTCTGGAAGTGAAGAGAATGGAATGTTGTACCTGCTGAAGGAGGAGAACAGGGAGGGAGCTGTGCTTTGAGCTCGGGGATGTGGATACCTGGTGTGAGTTTTCTGTCAGCCACAGCAGGAGGCTGAGCTCATGAATTTTGGGTCTGATCTTTGTTCTCACTCCCTAAGAGCAGCTTTTGGCTCAAACCAAAGCTCTGTCCAGCCCAGCATCTCCAGCAGGACCCTGAGTGCAGGATAAGGACACATGACAAGCACACACTCATTGGCAAAGTGGGATCAGAGGTTTTTACCTCCCTCTCAGAGGCACTTGAGCTGTGATTCTGTAAATGTAACAAACATATTAATGGACACTCCAAGAGTCTTTACAAATGCAAAGAATCCCTTTTTCTGCTGCTTTGGAGCATCCAGGCTGCTTTTAACAAAGTCTGAAGCAGAGTAGCAAGGAAACACAGCACGTGGTGTGAGCCGAAGGTAGGTGGGAGCTCAGAATTCCATCAGCTGATCCCTCTGGCAAAGTCCAAGCCTGGAGTTGGGTGAGCTAGTGCAGGGTGGCTTTGGAGTGTCACTCAGCTCCTTGTTTCAGCTCAGTCCTCTCTGTGTCAGTACTTCTGATAGGGCTTCCTTTTCACTCCTCGGGGGTTAAAATGGGGGGGGGGGGGGGGGGAGGGCAGGCAATTTTGGAGGGAGTAATTATACACCACAAAGGCATTCCAAATGATTGAATAATTGTGTAATCAAGTTACTTTAAGTCATGTATTATGTGCCTGATAGATAGAAATTGCTCTTTCCTAAATATAGCAGTTTAAAAAGAGAGCACACGCTCTATTTTGAAGCTGCACTTCTTCGGATCTGCTGAATCTGTTTGAAAAGAAACAAAAAAGAAAGTGATAAAACGCTGGTCTTGCTGTCTTAAAAATTGCAACTGATCTTTGGCTCTTCAAAGCAAATGATTTGCTTAATGTGGGAACTGAAGTAGGCACCAGGCTCAGTTCTGTGCTGTCAGCAGAGGGGGGCTGGAGTGGAAATGTTACTCCTAAAATAGGCAGAGTGACCTCTGGTGCAGGAAGGGCCTTTGGACAAGGGCCTGCAAAGGCCTCCAAGGGCTGGAGCTCCTCTGCTCTGGAGCCAGGCTGGGAGAGCTGGGGGGGTTCACCTGGAGAAGAGAAGGCTCCAGGGAGACCTGAGAGCCCCTTGCAGGGCCTAAAGGGGCTCCAGGAGAGCTGGAGAGGGACTGGGGACAAGGAATGGAGGGACAGGACAAGGGGAAGGGCTTCAAACTGCCAGAGGGCAGGGATAGATGGGATATTGGGAAGGAATTGTTCCCTGTGAGGGTGGTGAGGCCCTGGCACAGGTTGGGCAGAGAAGCTGTGGCTGCCCCATCCCTGGAAGTGTCCAAGGCCAGTTTGGACAGGGCTTGGAGCAACCTGGGCTAGTGGAACGTGTCCCTGCCCATGGCAGGGGGTGGGACTGAGTGATCTTTAAGGTCCCTTCCCACCCAAACCATTCCATGGGAGGGGACTGTGGGCTGGGCTGTTGCTGGGTTTGGGACAGGAGCCCACTGGGCCTCCAGTGTGTTGCCTCCTGGGCCTTCCTCTCCTCTCCTCCTCCTCCTTCTTGTCCTCCTTCTCTTCTCTCTGGACTGCAGCTCCACCTGCTCCCCACACACATCCACAAAGTGAGGGAGCTTTCCTGGCTCTGAACAGGAACCCTCCTGTGTGTGTTTGCATTTGTGATCCTCAGAGATAACAATGAGCAGATTCTCATCATTGCTCATAAGCAAATGCTTGGGTTTAGTGTTGCTGTTTCTGCTCCTCGTGGGCTGCTGGAACCACCTCATGGCTGGTGTGTAAATGCCATGGATTTGGTGTCCTGGATGTCACCTCAGACAACCAAAACCCCATCCTGGTACCATCCAACTAAATCTCCTGTTAATTGTGAAGTGTAGCTGAGTTCCAGGAACATCAGGTGGGTTCTAGTTCCCATGGCACCCATGGCTGCCCTTTCTCCTTGTTCCCTGAGCATGTCCAAGCTCATCCTGGCTCAATTCCCAGCCAGGCAGGGCCCTGTGGACCTCTCCTGCTTGGAGCAATGTGGTGCAGAAATCCCTCCTTGGAATCTCTTCTAATTCCTTAATTTTCTCCATCTAACAGTGACTCTGGCTCTTGCCTGTCATTAGCTTTGAGTTCCTCAGAGAAGAGATGATTTTTCTCAGCCTGCAGTTTAAAAACCCCCTCCATCTTCACTGGGGCAGCTTCTAATTAAGCAAACACAGCATTGAGGAAAAAAAAGGGTATTTTGGCTCAGTATTCTCTGAAACTGAACACTCCAATCCACTTAGGCCTAGAACATTTGCTCATTTTGGAGTCTGTGGCTTTGGGCTGCCAGTCCAGACAGGCTTGTTTCCCAAACTGATATTTTAACCTAAAGTGTTCAGTTTGTTCTGGGTTCTTCATGCAGAGGGAATGTGTTCAGATGGCTGGTTGAGTGTCCACGTGAAGTGGATTTTTCTGGACACAGAGAGCTCTGCTCAGTCTCATTGTGGCCACTCCTTGTCCCTTTGTCACCCTCAGGGTGGGCAGGGGGTTGGGTGTATTTTTGGGTGGCCCTGTTTGGCAGCTGAGCAATGGTTTCTAATTTCTTCTCATCTTCTCCAAGGAGCCACACGAAGCTGGGACTGGTGCCTGCTCACTGCACTCCCAAAATGCTGTCCCCACACTGAGCTCTGGGGGACACTTGGGATGTGGTTGTTCAGCTCAGAGCTGGAAGGTACCACGAGGGCTGGGTGTGTCACACTCACTGGCTTTGTCCCTTCTGTGTGTCACCAGGGTTTGTCCCCATCCCTGGAGGTGTCCAAGGAATGACTGGAGGTGGCACTCAGTGCTCTGGGCTGGGGGACAAGTCACAGGTTGGTCTTGATGATCTTGGAGGGCTTTTCCAACGTGGAATTCTAAGGGAGGTCCTTCTAGGTTGTTCTCAATGCCCTCAATGATCCCTTTGCTGATGCACCTGTTGCTGCTTCTCCTTTATTCCCTTGATTTCTGGGGAAATCAAGGTTTAGACTCAACCCAGGCTCTTCACACAGCACAGGAGGTTTAAACTCTTTAGGAATTACCAGTGTTGGGCTCACAGATGCTGAGCTCACCAGCACAGTATGACCAGAAAGGAATATTATTTATGAAATAAGGCCTTGTTAGTGGAAGGAGAACATGTTGGTGGTTTGTGTGGGGGTTTATTTTCTAAACAGCTTTAATATCCCTTCAAACACTGGCTGAGAATCCACCTGCAGGTGAGGTAAGTTCAGTGTATGCAGCAGTAGGAAGTGGCTGAGTTATGCCTCTATTTAGAATCCCAGAATCACTGAGGTTGGAAAAGCCCTCCAGGATCACCAGGTCCACCCTGTGCCCAATCCCCACCTTGTCCCCCCAGCCCAGAGCACTGAGTGGGGGACTCTACCACCACCCTGGGCAACCTCTTCCAGTGCCTGACCACCCTTTCCAGGAAAAAATGTCCTCCTGAGGTCCATTTCTGTTGAATGGGATTAGTTTTCCATGGGCCAGAGCAAACAGAACGTGGGGCAGGGGCTGAACTGTGTGGATTTTAACCATGGGGGCTGTGGGGAGCAGCAGAGCTTCTCCGTGCTTCCCTGGCAGCCTCCTTTGGGAAGCCTTTCCCGGTGTGTTACAGCTACTCTGGAGTGAAATATGTTCCAGTTCAGTGAGGAAAAGATAATTAAATTGTCAGCCAAGCCCTTTGTGTGTAGTTCCCAGCTTTGGGGGGTGTTATTTGGTGGAAGGTTCTAGCAGCTCACCACGGACGATGGTCACTTGGCAGAGATGAACCCCTGGACTTGGATGGTTTGCCAAGTTCCTGTTGCTACTGGACCTGCAGAGCAGCTTGGTGGGAGCTCCTGTAGCACAAAACCACAAACTCAAGCAGCAACAATGTCTGAAAACAGCAATTCCCTGTTTTTTCTTTCCAAAGGAGCCTGGAGCCAGTGACCCAGCTGTATGTCAGTGTGGATGCCAGCACCAGGGAGAGCCTGAGGAGAATCGACAGACCCCTCTTCAAGGACTTCTGGCAGAGGTTTCTGGACAGTTTAAAGGCCTTGGCTGAAAAGGTACCCAGTTAAGAATGTACTTCTAAATAGGTTTTTATAATTCCTTCTGCCCTTTGCCTGCTCAGGACACCTTTTTTTCTTCCTTCTCACCTGACTTCTGCTTTCTACAAAAGCAGAGACTTTCTACAAAAGACTTGAGAGGCTTCAGAGGCTCTCAAGGTGGGCCATGGGATGGGTTCTGGATGTGCTGGGAGCATATTTGCATGGTTTGTACATTCAGGTGTATAAATTTTAGCAGGTTTGATCCATTTTCCATGTGGGGACAAACTCATTGACAAAAGAATGTGTCTGAAATGGGACAGTAAACTGCTGTGAGAGATGGAGAGATCATCAAATAACAGATTTCCTGATGAAGGGGTTACACTGCAAACAGGCTGCTGAAGGAAAGCTGGAAATTCAGGGAAGCCTGGGAAGAGTCACAAACCCCCATATATCACCTTGCTCTGGTTCTCAGAGGTTCCCTTGACCCTGCAGACATGAAACTGTGTGTGCTGGAGTTTGCCAGCTCTGACCACCTCCCTCCTCCATGGAAATCTGCTTATTTCTGGAAGATTGACCCAAACCAGGGGTGATTTGTGTCCACCAGAGGCAGGTGAGCAGTGACCTGAAGGCCCATGGGACTGTGTCAGCTCAGAGCTTGGTGTGACATGTTTTGTAGCAATTAATGCCCCATCCTGGGCCCAGCATCACATGAATTAATAACAGTAGTGCTTCGTGAGCAAGTCTCCTCCTCTTCTTCCTGATCCTGTGCTCTGATGGAAGCAAATCCTTGTATTTACCAATTTGGCAGCTGTTGACACGTTCCCTGCTGAGATGAACAGCCAGGAGAGAGGGTTTCCTTTAAATAGTGAGTTTTTCTGCCTTCTGAGATGACAATATTGGACTATTTTCTGCCAAATCTACTCAGATTAGTAGATCTGGGGGATTCAGCAGGGTTCCAGTTTATTCTGGAAAGTGGGATCAGGTGGATTGTGTGTGAATATCTGGTCTTAAAATCTCGGGCCAAACTCTTGGGTGTGTTGAAATCAGGTACAAACTGAGTTCCCTGGGAGCAGGGGCAGTGTGGGAACAACAGGAGCTAAAATATTGAAGGCAAAAAAATGTTGAAAAAGCCCTTTGGGGACTTGCTTTTGCTCATCATTTCTTTCCTGCTACCCCTCTTGACCCTGGATAGATTTGGTTCATTCCTTGCTGGGTGTTGTCAGAAAGTTCCTTGCAAAGGATTGAAGGTGAAAGTATTGGCAGGTCTGTCCATACAGCTAAAAATACTTTGGCCAAGGTGAAGAGGAGAGGAAAAAGGAGCTCAACTAGCAGGTGCATTTTCTCCTCAGAGCAACTGCACTTTGAAGGGTCCTTGAAACACTGGGAAAACAAGAGCCAATTAATATTTGCTCCAGTTGGGGAAACTGCTCTGCCAGCCCTGCTCAGCTGCACATGGGGACAGCAAGAGCTCCTGGGGAAGCTGCTGTTTGTTGGGTTTTTCCTCTTGATCACAGAATCCTTTTGGTTGAAAAAGGCCCCCAAAGGCTGTCGAGTCCACCCTGTGCCCAATCCCCACCCTGTCCCCCAGCCCAGAGCACTGAGTGCCACCTCCAGTCCTTCCTTGGACATCTCCAGGGCTGGGGACTGCACCTCCCTGGGCAGCCCCTGCCAGTGCCTGACCACCCTTTCCATGCAGAAATTCCTCCTGATGTCCAACCTGACCCTCCCCTGGCACAACTTGAGGCCGTTTCCCCTCATCCCATCCCTTGTTCCCTGGGAGCAGAGCCCGACCCCCCCTGGCTCCCCCCTCCTGTCAGGGGGTTGCAGAGCCAGAAGGTCCCCCCTGAGCCTCCTTTTCTCCAGGCTGAGCCCCCCCCAGCTCCCTCAGCTGCTCCTGCTGCTCCAGCCCCTTCCCCAGCTCTGTTCCCTTCCCTGAACATGCCCCTCAATGTCTCTTTTGTCCTAAGGAGTCCAAAACTGTCCCCAGGACTGGAGGTGCCCCAGCAGTGCCAGCACAGGGGGACAATCCCTGCCCTGCTCAAACCATGTTATACGTGATTCTGGTACCCAAAAACCCCCTTAAAGTGCTCCTGGGGCATGGAAGTGCTGATGCATTGTGTTGGGAAGGTGCTGCTGATTTCTCTGGAACCAAAATCCAAGCCCCATGTTTTCCCAGTGAATCAATCCATCGAGGCTGAGTCAATCCTCCTGAGCCCGAGACGAGCTGGCACTGCAGCTCCTGTGACTCACTGCCAGTGGGAATCGTGGGGAGGTTTGGTCTGTGCACATTTAAAAAATAAAAGTGGGCAAAGGGAGCTGCTGAAAACAGAAGTTGTACCTTGCTGGGCTCGCCCTGTGGGGTTTGGCAAGTGCTGATCCTGTCCTGGGGCTGCAGGGGTGGGGGGGTCAGGGCCTACTGCAAAATAATCCTCTGCTTGGATAATCCAGACAGAGGAGTGGGAGAAAGGAAGAGGAGAGGACACAGTCCTACCTGAGAAAGGGTGTTCTTGGCTTTTTTCTTTCTGTATCCAAAACCAGGCTGATTCTTCTGGAACACAGGGATAGAAGGGCAAAGGGTTTCGAACCTGTTGCTTCAGTGAGGTGGTTAAAGAACCACAGAATGGTTTGGGTTGGAAGGGACCTTAAAGCTCATCTCATCCCACCCCTGCCACAGGCAGGGACACCTTCCACTAGCCCAGGTTGCTCCAAGCCCTGTCCAACCTTGGCCCAGTTACACTGAGAATGGATTTCATGCTTTGAACTGAAGTTCTGCACAAAGTTCTTGAGCCTCAGTAAAGGAGTGAATTTGATAAGGGATCATTCCCAGGAGGATTTGCCTGCCTCATCCAGCATGTTGGGGATTAGCTGCTACATCCATTTTCAAAGGAAGCTCAGGAATAAAAGATAATAATCTGTGCTATTTCTCATTGCAGCAAACAAGATGAACCCCCACACACACTTTGTCCACTGCTGTTTGGAGCAAGTTTTATCCTTTCTAGAGCTGTTCTCACTGAGCTGATCTTTGTGTTAAACTTCCTGTGCTGAGAACCATTTTGTGAGAGAGGAGTTTGTGTTAAACTGCAGGTGCACTCCCAGAAGGCTCCAGTTGTTTTTTGTCCTGTGTCCTCTCCCTCCCAAATTAAATTGAGAGGAAAAGGAAAGGCATTAACATGTGCAACTGGGACTGTGCCCTTTCCAAACATCACATCTGAAGTTTTGTAGCCTCATCCTCTGACAGCCTTGAGTTTGTGAGGATGATTGAGAGGTGACTTGACTTGAGAGACAAGTGCTTGGAGGGAGCACTAAGGATGTGACTCCTTATCTCTGTGTCAGGGTGAGGAATCTCTGTTGAAAGATGTTTCTTCCAGCCATTGCTGCTTCCTAATGCTAAAATCCAAGTGAGGAATGAGGTGCAAATTAATAATGAAGGTCCAGCAGCTCAGGAGGGAAGGGATGGATTTTCCATCCCTTATGATTTTATAATCAAGTTGATGCTTTTTTCCCCCAAAAATAACATCAACCAGATGTGCTGAGCAAGAAAACAACCCATGGTCTGTGAGCTCTCACCCCCACAGTCAGATCTGGGATCCTTTTGTGTTGGATTTGGGATCTGTTTCCCTCAGTGTTACTGGACCACGTTCTGTAGGCTGAGAACCTTTGGAAGCTGTTGCTGTGGTTGTTGTGGTCCATAAATCCCTGAGGGTTTTCCCAAGGATAGGGATGTGACTGAGACAAGTGGGAGTGCCCCTCTGAGTTGCTGATGGATGAAGTGGGGATGCAGCGACCCAGGGTGGCAAAGTGTGTATGGATTTCTACCCAGGCACTGGGAAAACAGCTGGAGATGGACCAGCACAACATGGCCCATTCTGGATGTGCTTTTTCCCACAGAATCCCAGGGTGGGTCAGGCTGGAAGGGACCCCAGTGGGTCACTGGTGCCACCTCCCTGCTCAGGCAGGGCCAGCCCAGAGCACAGGGCACAGGATTGTGTCCAGAGGGCTCTGGAATATCCCCAGGGAGGAGACTCCAGCCCCTCCCTGGGCAGCCTGTTCAGAGCTGGGGCACTGCCCAGGGAAGAAGTTCTTCCTCCTGTCCAGCTGGAGCTTCCTGGGCATCAGTTCCTGCCCGTTCCTGCTGTGCCATTGCTGGGCCCCCCCGAGCAGAGCCTGGGCCATCCTCTGCCCCCTCCCTGCAGCCCCTGACACACGGTGGGAGGTCCCCTCTCAGTGTCTGCTCTGGAGGCTGAACAGCCCCAGCTCCCTCAGCCTTTGCTGCTCAGGGAGATGCTCCAGTGCCCTCCTCATCCTCCCAGCCTGCGCTGGCCCCGCTGCAGGAGCTCCCTGGCCCTGCTGTGCTGAGGAGCCCGAGCTGGGCCCAGCCCTGCAGATGTGCCTGCCCAGGGCTGGGCAAAGGGGCAGGATCCCCTCCCTGCCCTGCTGGGAATGCTCTTAAGCTGTTGGGAGACTAAAACAGCTCCTGAAGCAAGTGGCTGCTGGTCTGTGGGCTTGATGATCTCTGGGAAGAAGGTCCCTGGTGTCACTCGTGCTCTGAGGAACATTCTCCCAACCTTGCCATGGTGCCACCTCTTCTGTCTGTATTTTCTTGACTTAATCATGATAAATCCTGTCCAATCCACTCCATACCCCGTGCCCTGCAGTACTTGCTGTGCTGCCAGACACCAAGTGGGCATTGCTGAGCTGCTCTAACTTTCAGGGGACAGGTGCCAATGTTCCCTTGAACAGATTGGAGCCACACGCGAAGCAAGCGGGGAACGAGCCCTGGAGGTTAATAGATGTGTGGCACTGCAGGAACTGATGATGAAGCAGAACCTTGTCCTTCCTGTCCTTCCAGGAGGGTCACAAAAAGCGAAGGAAACAGCTTATTGGCACTGGCAGGAGCTCAGAGTTGGGTCTTTAAACATCACACACAGCATGTGCTTCAGATCTGGGGTCTAACCTTGCCCTCAGTGTTTTTCTACTTCAAGGGAATTAAGATTTCATGGAGAACCAGGGTCATGGCT